ATCAGAAGTATATAAAATGTGGATATCTTTAAAACAGGAGCAGCTAGGATTTCAATTTAAGCGGATTCTTAACCTTAAGATATCAACAAATACAACCCTGCTTTCAGATTTTGTCGACATTTTTATGCAACCTATCTTCGCTTCCTGCCCACCGTGTATACCGTCTCTGCATCTTGACCCACAGGTCACTTATAGTCATTTATTTAACGAAAAAAAAACTTACTTGAAAATTCTTTTTCCAATATTTTTTTGTTAAAAAAAATGGCTATAACTGACTACCAGACCAGGTTAAGGTACAGGGATGGTATTTCAGGGACATAAGTTGAGAGCTCTAGCTTTAATTTAAGCCTAAGTGCAAGCTTTTATCACGTTTTCTTTTTTTGCTAGAGCTTCTCAAATATTGCGAAAACCGCGATTTTTTCACAATTTTACTTGGTTTTTTTTTCCAAAATCTGAACCTGATAGAAACTTTACACTTACGGATTTGTAATAAGTACAAAAAAAGTCTTACCAAAATAGCTTTAGCATTGGCCGCACCAAAATCAACGTTGCCCTGTGTAAGCTTTCCACACAACACAATGAGCACTGTTATTATTTTATCGCGCTATTCAATCGTGAATTACAACAGAACGTCGACGAATCTGGTTAGTTTCTTTTCGAGTTCTTGAAGTACGTTGTTATTGCTATTCTCTTTAAATTGCAGAAAAGCCCGGTCTCCAGCGATCACAACTTTTTCAACAATCAAATAAAGAAATGTTCTCATATATTTCTTTTTTGAGACTGCTTTTAAAATATAATGTTTACTTGTGTAAAAAATTTAAATTTAACGACTTAGATTATTGAAGACACCTTCAGAAACGCTCTCTATCTCGCAAAAAATAATTAAGTTCTTTAACCACTATTTTAAAATCAGCACAAACTTCAGTGAGAATAGCAAGTTCAAATTGCTCTAGTGAAGAAGATACAAAAACAGGGTGCCTTATACTCTTCATCCACTACGCAATGGACTTTCTTCTTGACGAATTACCATGTTTTGCAATAGTCGGGCAACTTTGATTTTTGGAATATTGGCCAGCTTTTGCTTCATTTCTCACACGTCTAAATATAAGTCGCCCGTCGCCTATGCAGGAATGGTATTATCGAACATAAAACAAGTATGACATAAAGCGATTTCTGCCCTTATGGCTATCTGGCTGTAGATACTTACAGGTTCTTTTACAGACTAATGCGGAATTTCCACTAGGAATTTAAAAAAATGCCATGTGGAAATAAATTTAATGACTATTTTTTTAATGTAATAAAAAAAAAAATGTTGTGTGTTTTTGAGGGGAAATGTGGCATAATCTCCTAAATTATGAAAAAAATTAACTTAAGTGCAAAGTAAAAACATTAAAACATTATTTTAGTACTAACGAACTATACATAAGTAACGCTAAGCTCTAAAACAAAGTCATGGACGTATTGAAATATCACGTTTTCATTGAGTAAATATGTTTTGTATCTCTACATGCACATATGTGTTGTCTATTAATCATTTGACCATTAAGGGTCGTTTTCTCAAGTAAACTTTAAGTTTAAAGCTCACTTTATATTTAAAGGTTGCATTACAATTTATGATTGTGTCTGAAGTAAAGCATTTTATTATCGGTTTTAAACTGGTTTACAACCAAGAAACTTACATACGTCAAAAACCGATAATAGAAATGCCTTCCTTAAGACATGGCTTTATTTTTCATCTAAACTTTAAATATAAAGTGAGCTTCAAAGTTAAAGGTTACTTCTGAAAACGACCCCAACTGTACAAATATCCGGATATGAATGCTATCTTGCATGAGTGCATGAAAAAGTGTCTTTCGAATGCAACGCACGCTATTTTAACATTTTTTGTTTTATAAAAATGATTAAAAAAATGTTTAATTATTTAGACATTGCTTGTTTGTGTCATCATAAATAAATGCAGTTGAATTTGATTGCATAAGGATTGCTGCTAAAAATATACAATAATTAATAGTTATTTATTAAATGCCATCACCTGAGGAAGTACTCAAATTACAAATACAAAATATGCGTTGAATTTTATACAATGTGCATATGTGTAAGTGTGTATGTGATCATGTCTTCATATGTTTAATTTATTGTGTAAATTTTAACTTACTGTACATTTGAACTGAAGCACATTAGAACGCATCATCACAGTAATTTACATACATATCTATATACTCAAATGAGTATAGCTAAGTAATCATAAAATTACATACATACATAAATATTTATTTTCAAGTTACTCTCTACTATCCATTGTTTACACAACATTTTTGCTTTTAATTAATATAACTTAATTTACAAACCAAATCAAAAATTCCATTGTAACATTCACCCTTTTTACCGTTGGGCTATTGATCTCTATCCAGATTTGTATTGATATTGTTGGTGTTGGTGTTACCGATACTGATTGTGCTGCTGAGTGTATTAATATTGGTATTGGTCGGTGTCACATCGTTGAATATACCCATATTAGTCGGAGTTGTCGGAGTAGGGGAGGACGCTGTCGTCACTGCCACTGTCGGCGCCGTGTTTGTATTTTTACGCAAATGGTTTCTTAGTATCACTAAATTCCTATTTAAATTTGCCGTTGCACTACCCACTCCGCCGCAAGTTGCCGATGCAGCTGCCAACGCATTGGATACGACGGCAGCTGCAGCGGCGGAAGATGGTGGGTGCGGTAGTGTACTGCAAGCTGAGCCCAACTGTATGCCACTCCCAATACTGCTTGCTAGGCCACCGCTACTGCCGCAGCTAACGATACCCGCCGATGCGGTAGATGTGGTGGGCGATGTGGCACCACCACCACCCAGCGCACCGCCGATGCTGCCGCCAACCAAGCCCACACCGGGACCGGGCAGACCGACGCCGAGCATCAGCTCGTGGGCGAGTATGGTGGGTAAGTGTTAAGTGCTATTCTTCATCGGACCCGAAGACAGCGAACTGCTGCTCACGCCCGAATCGCTTGACTTCTCACTAAGACCGCCGCCGCGCGTCAACGTGTCTTCGCCCATAAGGCTGCCACCCAACAGCGCTTTCTTACCAACACGGGCCGATAGTCCGGCTTTGAATGGGTTTTCTTTTTGCCGACGTGCGCTCTCGACGCGCTTCATGATCTCGCTGGAACACTTGGTAACAACATCGTCCAAACTGTTCGACTCATCGGTGGATGGTATGTTCTGTATAGGTGTATGTGAGGTGGGCACAGGAGAGCCTTCATAGCAGCCCGAGTCCCGTGGGAAATGACGACGGCCGAATGGTGATGTGCCATGCTTTTTATTGATGTTATTTAGGCGCGTTTCGTCATTCTCCGAACTGGAGCCGGCGATATCGCCATCGGAACCTGTTTGAGAAAAATGGGAAGCTGTAGCAAAAACGAAATGTTAATAGAAAATTAGTAGTTAGTAAATATTTGTAAAAGCAAAATTAGACGCAACTGTACATGGGAGAAAAGTTACTAGGTCGAAATATTTACTTGCGTTAGACTTTTTATTAATAATTATTAGGGCAATTCATCTAAACGCACAAATTCCTCGTACCCTCGTAAAATTACTTTATTTTGTATAACAAATCGGTTTATTTACGGGGTACCGAGGCATACGCGTTTCCATGAATACCCATATTATTTTGAATATGGGCATTCCCATGGTGGCGCGAAAAGGTGGTGCACAGACGTAGGTTTAAATATCAACCCTTCTAAGACAGCCATAGTCCCCTTCACCAAGAAACGAAATCTCCAGGGGATGAGGAACTTGACCTTGGACGGGGTCGCAATCAGTGTCGCCACAGAGGTTAAGTATCTGGGGCTTACCCTGGACTCCAAGCTTCTGTGGAGGGCCCATGTTGATGTGGTCACCTCTAAGGCCACGAGAGCGATGATGGTGTGCAAACGTCTGGCGGGTAAATCCTGGGGGTGCACTCCGAGGATCCTCAGATGGATGTACACAATGATAGTGAAACCAATAGTGACTTATGGTGCGGTGGCTTGGTATTCCAGGACTACTATAGGAACGGTGAGGCAGACCCTCTCCAAGATTCAACGTCTGGCATGTGTTTGCATTACGGGAGCAATGCGCACATGCCCGACGGCAGCGCTAGAGGTAATGCTGGAACTCGAGCCACTGCATCTCTCAATTGAACAGGCTGCAAAGCGAACCCTCCTTAACTTTGCGAGAGAGGGCTTCGGCAAAGGCAAGGTGTTATCATCTAGGAACAGGGACAAGCTAGGCACCCAGCTCCCCCTGGCTTTGTTCCCCAGGGACGATATCAACAGAGAGGTGATATTCAAGAGAAATTTCAGGACCCACACTTATAGCAAGGCGACCTGGTGTACCTCTATTATGGAGAGTCACATACAGGCGAGCACAATACAGTGGTACACGGACGGCTCTAAAACACCCGCGGGGATTGGAGCAGGCGTGTACGGCCCTAGGCTGAAGCTTTCGGTGTCCCTGGGGACTTTCCCTAGCATCTTTCAAGCGGAGGTCTATGCCATCAGTATGTGCGCTGAGATTAATATTCGCAGGAACTATAGGAATGAAAGGATACTTATACTAAGTGATAGCCAGGCGGCATTAAGGGCCCTCGCATCATTCGAGATCAAGTCCTCCTTGGTTAGGGAGTGTGTCGAGAGGCTCAATGCTCTGGCGGAGGTCAATGATATCCAACTAATGTGGGTACCAGGGCACATGGGGGTCGCAGGAAATGAGGAAGCTGATCATCTGGCCAGAACGGCCGCTTCCTCGACCCCGATAGGACCTGAGCCCTTTCTGGCAGTAGGACCAAACACCATAAAGGAAATGCTCAGAAGGGACAACAGCAAACTGAGGGAATTGCACTGGCTTGGCACCATGGGCCAACGTCAGGCAAAAAGCTTATTAGGAGGTTACAATCTGTCAAGATACAGGCTTCTCATGGATCTCCCAAAAGAGAAACTAAGAATTATTACAGGTTTTTTGACGGGCCACTGTAGGCTCAGAGGGCACCTGTATAAATTAGGTATCTGGTCCAGCGACCTGTGTAGCTTTTGCGATGCAGCCAAAGAGACTCCTCTACACCTTCTTATGGAGTGTGATGCCGTTGCACGCAGGAGGTATAGGAGCATAGGGCATATCTGGCCAAGAGAGGAGCACATACACTCACTGTCCCCGGGGTCTATTATGAAATTTATAGACACTCTGGGGCTGGTTGATGTATTGTGATGAGCTAGGGGCACAATAGACCTACTGGTCGCAGTGCCATACCCAACCAACTATATATCTATCTATCTNGAAATCTATGATTTATTATGTTTCAACCACATGCGCCAAATTCGAACCAAATCGGACCATAAATACGGTTTTTCGAAATATCTCGACCATGGCACCACCTAGGAAGACCAATTTATGCAAACATTATTCTTCTTACACAGCCAGTATATATTTTAAAAAGCAGACAAATCGGCCGGTAAATACGTTAGATATAAAACTTTTATTTTTTTTTGTCGTGGTGGACCTTCCGCTGGAAACACCCATATATAAATTAGTACGTATATGTATTTTTATCTGTACTTATCTATGTACTTACATTCAATATCGTGCAACAACTGCACAGCTGTCAGCAATTTGGCACGATGCTCCTGGTTAATAATACCCAGGTAATCCAAGTCAGCTGGTTCCAGTTCCTTAAAGAGTTCGAGGTCCTCATATCTAGAAAAAATATAAACAACTGCCATTAGAATACTTGCACAAATTAACATGTAAAACTGTGTTTTGTACATATTTTTATGAAGTAATAGAAGCTAAGTAATAAACTAAATAATTATTAACTATTAGCAACTGCAGCGCCAACGATTAATTGCGTTTTCAAATGTTCATTTTGTACAGGTTTGTTTTTGCTAATTGCAAAGGGGCGTTGTTTGGAAATTTTTTATTAGGCTGAACTGGTTCTTGATGAAAATTTTTAGACAACACCACTCTGTGATCAACCACTTTTCCAACCAACACTTTTTCTGTTCAATAATTTCTAAACACTAACAAGGAAAAACCAAAAACAGCACTTATATATTTATAGAAGCTGATTTATGGAGCTTTACGGCCAGTTAAATAAAAAGCTAAACAAAAAATCGATGAAAGGTTTTGACCAAACTTAGTCTATGATATGTTTTTGGGGTCGCTGAACACGAATCTGGACTCCGTTTTGCTTCATCACGACCATTTTTTTTTGTGGACCTGTGTATTTATTTTTTTGAAGTGTACACTAAAAAAATGTTGGAGGATTTTTTTAAACAGTGCTATTTTTGGTTTTTCCTTGTTAGTGATTAGAAATTATTGAACAGAAAAAGTATTTTTTAAACGAACATAAACCTAAGCTTGTTTGGTTGATCACAGAGGGGTGTTGTCTAAAAATTTTCCTCAACAACCAGTTCAGCCCAATAAAATATTTCCAAACAACGCCCTTCTGCAACCATGGGCGTAGCCAGGTATGTGCAGGGGGGTGCTCGAGCCCCCCCCTAACTTTCAAATTTTCCTTATAAATATATAAAATGCTACCCTGAAATTCCAGCTTAATAGGGTCGAGCATAGCCACGCCCACTTATGGTTACATGTGTATATCTTGGTAATCGCTGCACAAATTTCTTCCAAACTTGGCACAGTTGTTGGCCTTGATACAGCATACTAAATGGCCGAAAATTTAAAAAATCGGACAATAACCACGCACACATCCCATATAACGGTAATTTAGAGAAATACAAAATTTTCGATAAATCAGTAAATATTAAAGCAAATTTATTCAAAATTGATGCTTGCAACAATTCTTTACCAAGAAATACGTTTATGGTAAAATTTTGCAAAATGGGCGTGGCACCGCCCACTTATGATCACATATATATATATCGGTAACCGTTCTACCAATTTGTACCAAACTCGGTATTTTTATTGTGCTTGCTACATAAAAGCAAAACGTTGAAAATTGTTGAAATCGGACCAAAATTACGGCCGCTTTTCATATAACGGTAAATTTCAGAAATGCTTGAAACTGCAATATTTCGAAATTTAAGGACGCTAATTTACTCACAATTGATACACCCCGGCTTACCATCTAGCGGTAGCTTACGGAAAGGTGAAAAAACATATATTTAATACTTGCGCCGGGTATTTAATGTTCGGCTCCACCCGAACTTAGACTTTCTTACTTGTTTTATTTGTTTCTTTACAGAGTGTAAGTAATAGAAATCTAACTTGATTTAGCCATAACTCCTTTAAAATACTGAATTTTATTAAAGACTGTAATTAGGTCAATGTTGTAGCAGTTACTTGAAAATTCCAATATTAGTTTAGTGAGTGATTTGGCGGCTTCCATACAAAAACTAGATTTTGAACGAAAGTACATAGTATTAAAAATAAATTTCTTTCTGCTTGTTCTCTACATATTTCCAAACTTTTCATCCGATTACAAGCGCCACCTAGAGAGTAAACTTTTTTTGCAAAATTAGTTTGATTGAAATCGGCCAACAAACAAAAATTTTCTAGATATTTCGACCCCATCGGCAAATTATTTCCTATTATAAGGGTAATATGCGACTATGTTTGAACTAAATCGCTCCACATATAAAAATTTTCTAAATATCGCGACTCCGGAGCCACCAGGCGGACAAACCATCTGTAAAAGGTATTCCTATTATAAAGCAAGCTATAAACGTTGCGACCGTCGGTTCAACTTGATGTTATGCTCCAGATTGCAACGCTCGTGGGCTCTTGAATGAAGTTGTGTCGTGGTTGTAAATATGAAAAAAGATGTCCAAAGAATAGCCTATGAAAATTTTATTGAAATCTAATACGTAGTTTTCAAGATTAGCGTATTCAGAAAATATCTATTTTAGTTTATACTAGGTAATTTCTATGGATAGATATAGGTAAACAATAAATTTATGTACTTACATATAAGTTCATATCTGTGGTCATATGGCATAAAAGCTTAAGTCGGGTGGATGACCTTAGTAAAGAATTAGCGGGATGGTGCATTTTATTATAGCCAGCCTACCGACTTACAATGCCATATGAACACAGATCGCTCATATACTTCAATAGTGTCTTAATTTATTAAGGATTAGACAAGGGATTAGAGAAATGAGCCACTTAAAAGCAATAAGGGATTATATTTTTTGAATTTAGAATGATGTTGTTATTGCTGAGGAACATCGATATGTGAATTCAAAGCATTAAAGCTATTTTTCTCCAGTTTTTGGTTATAACAGCATTAAAGTAGATGTTGCTTTTATCGATTAATTACACAGTGCAACACTCAAAACGTGATGCGAATGAGGCCAATTGTATTATTTAAAGGAGGTCAAAATATGGATAAATACCAAAGCATTTGTAAAAGTTGGTCCCCATTTCCTTTTTATATCGATTTAAAATCGTGAATTAAGGGTTCAAAAATAAACAAGTACAATGATTTTTTTTTTGGTTTTCCTCACAAACTTCATACCTGCATATGTACATACATATATATATACGCCACTTACCCATTCAAAACGAAGACCGACGTATACTCCTTTAGTCCAATGCGAAAGAGTAAATCTTCTACCGAACTTGGGCCGTTATTGCTAGTGTGCCGCATGCTGGCACCACCACCCATGCCAACACCGCCAACTACGCCGCCGATGCCCGAACCACCCGCACCAAGAATTTTGCTATTTGATGACTTCAGACGTTCGGGCAGCACTTCAACGTTGATGAATTTAAAGTGTCCGAGACGGCCGTGACAACGACCCTTCCAGATGCCAGAGGCATTCATTGACAGCACATCGATTATATCACCTTTCTGTAAAGAGCACAAAGAAGTGAATACGATAAAAGAACCTGTCAGTATGCAAGGGGAATATACTGAAGTAAAACAATTTTCGTTTATTGCCAGAAATATATTAAAGAAAATAGAACAACTGTATAAAACAAAAAGCTTTACGCTTCTGTTGAATAAAAACACTTTAAAGTGGTGGAGTGCACTCAAGATTTGTCTCCCAAAATTCTAAAGCCTTGAAATTCATCGGCATTAGAAGTGGTAGTCACTGTCGGAGTGGTAAGGAATTTAGCAAAACATTAAAAGCCTAAAATTAAAGGCTGCCACTTCAAAGAGTTTTTGGTTTAGAAGTATATCGACTATTTAAATACGAGTAAGTAAGCATAGTATGCATCTATGTATATTTGTATATATGTATGTTTGTAGGCGAATAGCAATTCTGCTTGCAGCACTAACTGAAGGTCAGCATTCAAAATTCAGTCATCGACAACCAACCATCACTTGACAACACTGCCAGCCGTTTTGTCAGCTTGCTCGCTTCTGATCTGCTTACTTACCTTAAATTTGAGTGCATCCTTATCGTACGGATTCGGCATACTATCGACAAGTGCTTTGGCTTTGCAAATTGGTGCTAACGAAGTGCGGTCCTCGGTAGAAATAGAGCTCTGTGGACTGCCAGGACGAACCAGCGCTTGAGTACCTGTGTTTGAAGTGAAAGGCGAAGGAAAAGAGTTCGTTTTACAAAAGCAGTTTAAACGTAAAAGAAAAAGGACATTGTGTAGCATAGGAAACAGATCATATTTATTACATGAGGTTAAAAATGTGGTAAACGATAAGAATAATTATCCACTCTCATTACAAATTAGGCGGTGATAATGAGAGTATTCTCATGACAATTATTTTCATCCCTCAAGGGTCAGTAAAGAAGCCTTTAAAATTCGCAACACTAACGCCATTTGAGTCGATCTGACCTTTACATCGTAAAATTTGAGATTTTATAGCAGTAACGTGCGCAGAACGTTTTACAGTACGAAAACTCTCCGTTTTTTTTAGAGTTACTTCAAAGTTCCAAGAAGTCAAACAAACGAATATGCCGACTATTTGTTAGAAACTAGTGATGTATTTCATAGTCCGAAATGCCTTTATGGGCGCACCAATGGACTTACAATAGGCGTTAACAAATTACTGGAAAGAAAGGCACTGCCCTCTTGCTGCAAAACTGTATATAACTCATTAAATCACCACCCACTTGTCTAAACTAAGTATAATCTCAATCAGTTCCTTATTTAGTGAGCTGCAACAAGAAGAAACACAAAAATTCAAAAATCGGGCTCAACTGGTATTAGCTTTTTTTTTAATTAAATTGAGTGAAAGAATAAGGGCCCCGTGGAATTGTGAATACAAAATGCAAATTTTTAACCACTGTGAGATGGTCTTCGGTTTTTTCGTAAATCGACAGATTGATTGAGCTAATTAAGTGATTAGAACCGTGCTTCCAGCGCGCCGCCTGCACTGCTGTTTTATGTAGCTCAAACTTTATGACTTTTACGTTTTAATTTTTTACTCTATCTTTGAACAGTTCTGAAAATATTTCATCACGACAAACTTCTCTACGTTAAGCTCTCAGCAATCATCTCTTAAAAACAACAGTGATGACTAATTAAAAAATGTTAGCTACGTGCAAACTTAACTAAGCGAATTTTCTTTCGTGCAGTTCTTATTTTCAATTAAAGGGTGAATTTTTCTTTAATTTCCTAAGTTCGTAAGGAATTTTTATTTTCAATATCATATTCGATTTTGATTGCTTTCTATTGTTTTTGTTATTCATCCTAAAGGTTTTGTTTTTGCCGCATCGAATATGCAAAGTTTTGTTCATTAAAATTGTTCAGCAGCAGTCAAAATTTGTTGATGCTAAATATGTACGAGTATATGGGCGCCAATGTTGCACACGCGTTTGTGTGTGCGTAAGAGCATTCAACAAATTTCAACCACCAATTTGCATTGGTAGTACATGTAGCTCACACAATCGTTGAAACGCATATGAACTTGAATGCTTTGAATCTGTTTACCGTTATGTACCGACATTCGTCCCTTGTAGTTGGAGTCGCTTTACACAAATTTCATTTTGTTTTATTTATTTTGCTTTCGGGTTTTTATGTTTTAAGGAAACTTTTCCACTTTCAGCAGCACATTAAAAATTCATTAAGTTCGAAGAATTTCCACGTTTTTATAAAGCTTGCCGAAAAACTCACTTAAATAACGGCGAGTACAACAAGAACTAGAGAGCGAATTTGTTCCAGAAAAAAACAGCAGGATGAGGATAGTTGAAGGTAGTAGATATTTACTGCCAATGTTCGGTTAACAGTTTTATTTTTTCTTGTAAGAAATATGCGAAGTACCTATAAACAGTTAATAGAACAATATGTAACTGCACTATACGAGCTCAAAGGAAACGAGTAGAGCAATAGAGAAATGGAGGCCACACAACTCCAGTCATTAAAAAAAGGGGTGGTGGTTGTGGCTTAGATATACATATGTACATACATATGTATTTATGGCACGTAGCTAAGTGGTTGCAGTTGCGGTTTTAGATTTGGGAAAAAATTGAAAGTGAACAAAACTATTTGTGGGTTGAAGGAGATCGTTATTGGCGGGCATATGAATGGATAAACTTACTTGAACCGGAAGCGCTGGGTAAACTTTCCACCGAACTTGCTGAACAGGCAAAGGCTTGGTCGCTCATGCTGCCACGGTCGGTATTATCTTGAGAATTGCTGAAATCCCTCGAAGTATCCTTTGTGGCTACAAAGTTCCTTCCGTTCTCATTAAATACGCCAATTTCCTTTGGTGAGTTTCGCATTTCGTTCGACTGCCAGGCGATGCGGAGTTCATTTGTTGTTATTATTGTTTTCGATGGAGGTTACGTTGATGAAGTTGCAACGAATGCGTTGATGACGATGGTTATTTGGTTAGTTGGTTGGTTGGTTGGTTGGTTTTGGAAACGTTTCGTTGCATATTGTTAGGCGTTGTGCGATAATTTGGCGATGACAGAGTTATAAGGAGCAGTAATAAAAGAAGAAGTAAAGAAAACAATAAGGAAATAAATTTAAGAATTTGAGAACGACACATATAGACATAAATAAAATTTAAGGATTATGCGTAAAAAATCCAGATTTAATCAAAATGAAAACAATGTTGTGCGCAAACAAGTAAGCAAGAAATAAATAAAAAATTTAGACAAAGTATAAATTGTTAGCCGCAAATATAACCATATTGTCGTCATGTGTGCATGTGTTGAGTTGCATGAAGTCGTGTTGAATTTATTTAAGTTATTCGAGTTAAGTTGGCGGATATGGAATGGAAAAGAAAAGTTGAAAGGCAAAAGTTTTGTTAGTTAAATCATTAAAAAGTTTTGGGCCACACCCGTACAATAATAAAAATAGCTGCAACAATGAAACACAAAGCACACTACACTTACACATACAAATTCAAATAGGGCCATTAAAACTGCCGACAAACAGTACATGGCAAGCAAATTCCATTACGAAACACACTCGAATATATGCATAGATGGACATATGTATTTGTACATAATCAAACATATGAATCCATATATCTTTCACATATATTTATATACACTGACGTATGTATATTATTAAAAAATGGTTAGGTACAAACTACATTGTTATGCGAAACGTGCCTACTATAGTTATTTCGAATGTACACGCAAACATACATACAAATAAAAATCTCACCCACTCAACCTTAACATTTTTCTTCAGAATTGCTGAAACAGTTGCTCTAAGCATTTTATGTATTCGGTCAAGTTCTTTTACAGCGACCGAAGCTCATTTATAGTGTTCTCATCCATTATTACTTTTTCCTTGTATTTTGACATTGTAGTGTCCGTTGAAGGAACCATTGATACTTGTACAAATTGATAGTATTTAGTGGGCTATGAATTTTCTGATTTCTACAATTGCCATTAGAACCGTATCTGTTCTCTCAGAGAGGTAACGCTCGCTCTGTTGAACTAATTAAGTACTAAAGCGATTTTAATCTAAGCTATAGACTGGACAAGTCTATGAAAATTACGACTTTAAAATGCTGTGCTTTTCTTTATTTTTCCATATACATTTTATATATTAGGGCAATTCATCGTAAACTTAATTTTGTATGGAAAATTTATTTATTTACTAGGTTCATTCTCTTACGAGGCATTTATGCATTTCCATGAATACCCTTATTGTGGTCTTCGCTAGCCTAACGACTTTGAGGTTAGAAAATTTAAACATATTGATCAGCACATGCAAATCCATAAATTAATGAATAACAAGTAAGAAAGTTTAAGTTCGGACGGAGCCGAACATTAAATACCCGGCGCAAGTATTAAATATATGATTTTCACCTTTCTGAAAGCTACCGCTACATGGTAAACCGAAGTGTATAAATTTTGAGTAAATTAGCGTCCTTAAATTTCGAAATATTGAAGTTTCAAGCATAAAATTACCGTTATATGAAAAGTGGCCTCAATTTTAGTCCGATTTCAATAATTTTCAACGTTTTGCTCTTATGTGGCAAACACAATAACCGTACCGAGTTTGGTACAAATTGGTAGAACGGTTACCGAGATACATATATGTGAACATAAGTGGGCAGTGCCACGCCCATTTTCCATAANTCGGACGGAGCCGAACATTAAATACCCGGCGCAAGTATTAAATATATGATTTTCACCTTTCTGAAAGCTACCGCTACATGGTAAACCGAAGTGTATAAATTTTGAGTAAATTAGCGTCCTTAAATTTCGAAATATTGAAGTTTCAAGCATAAAATTACCGTTATATGAAAAGTGGCCTCAATTTTAGTCCGATTTCAATAATTTTCAACGTTTTGCTCTTATGTGGCAAACACAATAACCGTACCGAGTTTGGTACAAATTGGTAGAACGGTTACCGAGATACATATATGTGAACATAAGTGGGCAGTGCCACGCCCATTTTCCATAAACATATTTCTTGGTAAAGAATAGTTGCAAGCATCAATTTTGAATAAATTAGCTTTAATATTTACTGGTTTATCGAATATTTCTTATTTCTCTAAATTACCGTTATATGGGATGTGGGCGTTGTCCATTGTAAAAATGTTCGGCCATTTGGTATGCTGTAGCAAGGCTAACAACTGTGCCAAGTTTGGAAGAAATTCGATTCGTTTTGCCTGTTACAAACAACCCTTATGTGAACAAAATTATCGCTCGCGCTCGGGTATAAAAATAAAATACATGGATATGTGAGGGTACGGCTCAAAGCCAATGCTAGTGGTAAACCATTAACAAGTCTGTAGCCTTTTAGTGAGTGCCCAGTACATATCGCGTGTGCCTATCTTCGTTTGATCTCCTCAAGACTTCTAACCTCCATGTATTCATACATTACATTCTGAACCCCTCTCTCACTAATTACAAGCCCAGTGATGAAGCTTACCTACAATGAGTTATATCGGAAGGTTATCTGCGTGAGCTAACCTGCCGACGCCAACCTTTCTTAGCAAGATTCTCTAGTTAGGGCTCTATTGATAGCATCATTTCTTAAGTATGCAGAGGACAACCATTCATAAACTGTATTTTTCTAACAGTTTAAGATACGAATAATTACTCGATACTTGTGAAATGTTTAACCCAAGGCAGGTGTTGTAAATCCAGTTAAGATTTTCAATGTTAGAGCCAGTGTATAGACAGCAAGAAATTTCTTTAAATAAGCGATTTGTTCAATAAATTAATAAATTTTCCTTATTATACTTTGAATTGATATATATAATTAAGAGCTTGGTATTTGTCAGAATTAATTCGGGCTCTGTTAAAATAAATGTATAAAGTGGTTCGTAGGGACCACACGGTTTGTACATGTGTAAATTTTCACACTTACAGAGTGGTGTTGTTTGGAAATTTTTTTTCAAGCTGAACTCATTTTCGATAAAAATTTCTAGAGAACACCACTCTGTGAGTGCCAAAATGTACAAATGTGGAAATCGTGTGATCTTTGCTTTAGGAACAGTTGTGACGCTGATGAACACATTCATTGTTGAATTAATCTATCCAAAGTGTTGATCAGAGTAAATTTGGTTTACATGAAAGCAGATCTTAGTAAAGTATACTTATCTGGTACCGGCATACCTCAGCTTGCTTTACTTAGGTTTAGATTATAAACAAAAATACTTATTTGAGTGAACTTAGATGGGTATGCGAAGACTTAAAAAAGTTTTTTTCTGATGTGATATTTAGCAGAGTTAGACGAAAACTGCTGGCAGTTAACGGTTTTCCAATAACAAATGATGGTAAACCATGTTGTTGTTGTAGCGGCACTACTAAGCCCCGCTTTTTTCGGGTCTACGTTCAATCATTTTCGTCAAGCTCAACTAACGGGAGGCCCAGGAAACGAGCTGATTCAATAGGTTCGGAACAGAGGGAGAGGGGTGTTAGCTGAGTCGGATTGAGCTGGCATGTAAAGAGGTGGTTGGTGTCGTGGGGGGTTTTCCGNGCTGTTTCGATGGGTTCGGACCAGAGGGAGAGGGGTGTTAGCTGAGTCGGATTGAGCTGGCATGCAAAGAGGTGGTTGGTGTCGTGGGGGGACTCTCCGCATGCCGGGCACTCATTGGGGATATTGGGGTCGAGTCTGGACAGATAGCTGTTGAGGCGGCTACAGTATCCAGACCGTAATTGAGCCAGGGTATCGCGGGTCTCTCTTGGCAATTGCAGCTCCGTCTCTTCTACAGGCGGTGATTGGGCTCCTATTACGGCATTCATAGGTCGAGAGTCGAGGTAGGTGGTGACTGACTCTCTATGGATGTCATTAATGGCTCGCTGTCCGGAGTGCGGCGTTCTGACAAGTCTGTAGCTTCGTCCACTGCGTCCAACTAGTCCCCGGCGTCCAAACTGGCGCAGCATAGTTTAGAACCGGCCGGCCAATTGCCTTGTATGTTGCCAGCAACGTTTCTTTGTCTTTGCCCCAAGTGCTGCCGGCGAGCGACTTGAGGACCTTGTTGCGGCTCTGTACTTTATTGACAACCGCGGTTGTGTGCATGGAGTAGGAGAGCAGGCTATCGACCCCTAAAATTTTCAGGTTATTTACAGTCGGTATTGGTGTTCCATCGACGTGTATACCTAATTCTAGCCTGACCTCCTTCGTCGAGGTGGTGAAGAGGGTCACCGTTGATTTCGTTGGGGAGAGTGTTAGGCTCCTTGCAGTGAAGAAGCGAGAAAGGCTGGAGAGATAGTCGTTTACTTTTGAGCAGAGGTCATCAATTCCATTCCCGGAGCGTACATAAAATTATGATGGTAAACCATCATTGATTTTGCTGAACATATACATACATATTAATATGTTTAGCTCCTTCATATTGTATACTGACTGTTGATTTTAATAAAGGGTTTAAGTCAAAGTAAGGAGGGACGAAATTCTAATTTCCCTTGTTTGTTCAAAGGATTCAGTTAGGATCCCAGTTTGCCACCAATCGATTCAGCCACCGAAAGGAGATCTCAGGATGTTTGCGATGATGTCTCAAGAAAACGAGGGCTATAGAACGATTTCAAGTTCTTACGATCAATTGGTAAATTACATACATAGATGTATGTAGCAAAATGATAACTGCTGTGATATTCAGCCAAAATGCACAACAACAGTATTAATATTTCTATGGTATACATATGTGCTAAGCAGCTGATGCAGTATACATATCGCTAACTTAGAAAGAAAAGTTGCTAAGTCCCATTTTAAAAATTTTACAGGAGAGGAAAAAATCTTCCTATAGCCATTTTCTTTAACTATTTCCCAAGACTTTGATTCAAACATTTTGTGCGTTTAAAGCTAAGCAAAA